TTGGCCAATGCTATTGGCCACTACATTCGCCACTGTGTTGGCCAACGTGTAGAGGCGCCGTATGGTCGCATCATTAAGTCGCCTGTAATCTATAACAATGCGCCATTTCTTTTTGCCCGATGCGTCCATTTTCTTAGGCACGACCCACACTGGGGCGCTCCACGGAGATATTGACGGCTTAATAATATTTTGTTTTAACATCTTTTTTAATTGTGCGTCTACTTCGTCTTTATGACATTCGGGAAAACGATATGACTTAACATGAATAGGAGGGGTGTTTCCTGTATTGATTGAGTGTTGGATCGCGTTTGTACATGTGAGGTCATCTCCTTCAAGATAAAATATGTCTGAGTATTGTGAGCAACAATCTAATAAGAGTTTTTTCTCCTCTGAGTTTAAATGAGAATGACGAATTTGTTCGCAGACGCGTTGGACACGATTAGAATAAGTTGTAGAAATAGTATTTATATTATTATAAGATTCAAAAGATTTGGAATATTCTTTAAAGTCAATTGGTGTTAAGTTAACTTTGAAATTTTTTATTTTAATTTGCGATTCAGTTGTGTTTAAAACCGAAACATTAACTCTTTTATTCGCTTTTAAAGTTACTAGGCAGTTCGCTAAATAAACACCATTACAAACGGTTTGATCTAGTATGAGTGCATCCTTAAGGTGACGCAACTCGGATGGGTTATTTGACACGGAGCATTCGATAACAGTTTCGCTACGCGCTGGTATAATGTATGTAGGTTCCGAAAAGTGGATAGGCACAGATATAGAATTTTTGAAACAAAGTGAATAAGTATGATAATCAATGTTTACTTTAAAATAATTGAGAAAGTCGCTTCCTAATATTCCGTCATAATCGATATTAATATCGTCGGATGTGACATGGAATTTATATTTTATGGAAAAATTATCTAAAATAAAATCTAACAGTAATGTTCCTAATGTTTCGTTGCAAGATTGAGTGCTGTTTATACCCTTGAGTTTTACGATTTCATCAGAAAGCTTAAAGTTTCCATTTAAACTCGATTTTTTTATAATAGAGACACTTGCACCTATGTCGAGTAACAATCGTAGGGGTTGAACCGAAAAATTCGACCTAAAATAAACATGAGGTAGTGATGTTTTCTTATTCGATGTGTTCATGTTATATGTTGGTATTTCTCCTTTATTATTAATTGAATTATCAGTAGGATTAGCATGACTCGAAATTCCTTTTTGAGATGTATATTTTGGATAAGAGATAGTATCATTATGAGAGACAGAATTAGTATAAGAATTAGTACAAGAATTAGTATAAGAATTAGTAAAAGAATTAGCATTAAAATTATTTCTAAGACTCTGATGTTGATTCAGAGGTGTCCTGGGATGATTTTCCCGAGGTAATAAATAATTGGTATTATGACTTTGACTTTGTGTAAAAGATGGACTCGGATGTTGTTCCCGAGGTGTAGAATTAGAATAAGAAATAGTATTTTTTAAATTACATGATTTAGTAGGACTCGGCGGCATTTGACGTCGCTGAGATGTATTGTAAGAATATTTTGTACGATAATTATAACTAAATTCGTTATCATTATATATAGGCTTAGTATAAGATTTAGTATAAGAATTAGTAGAATAGCAATAATTATTTGTGCCTTTAAATGCTTTCGATTTCGGTAGGCACTTTTCCGAAATCAGATTTAGTTTAAATCTTCATTACTAATATCGGTATTAGAGGTAGAAGGTTGTGCGTCACATAAATGCATATTATTTCTATTAGGTGCATGCGCACTGGGACTTGGTAACGTATTCGTCGTGCGAGTGTCTGGTTGCATATTATGACGAAGGCTATTGTTATATTGTCGCTTTCGACATTCGTTTATCATATGTCCCGGACTTTTACAATAACTGCATATTTTAATAGGATTTTTGTTTGAAATATTATGAAAATTAGAATGAGGGTTATTATTTTGTGGATTAACGTAATAAGCTCGACGAGATTGTTTTTTCTTATGATTATAGCAGTTAGAAGAATCATGACCAAATTTTTGACATATAGAACACTGTTTATAAGATTTGGAAGATATTTTGCTCAGAATGAATAGTTTTTCTTCTTCTATGGCATGCGTAATTGCCTCGCTTAAATTCTTCGGGTTTCGACATCTAACAATATATCCGTAATTAGAATTTAGACCTAATATAAATGTGTTGAGGGCTAAATCCTCCATAGCGGCAATTCTTCCTACTAGCTCGGACTTATTCTCGCAACTGTAATGTATGTCGGATTGTAATCGCGTTGAACAAGATTCGATTCTAAGTGAATATTGCATTACTGTTTCCGAATTTCCTTGCCTACAATTTTGGAATTCAATTAAAAGGTGTGTGGAGTGTTTCTTCTCGCCAAAGGTAGTTTTTAGAAATAGTTTTAATTCATCCCAACTATTAAACGTTTTTAGGGAGCACGCGATTTGAGCTTTTCCTTCTAATTGGGATATGATATAACGATATAAAACTGCTTGCTGTTCCGAGTTCGCGAGTGCTATGGCGTTATCACAATTTGTGAGAAAAGCCGGAAGTGATTCTCTATCACCATTGTAAGGTTTGATGAATTTTACAAGGACGGATAAGGGAATTTTGTCGGACATTTCTATTTCTTCGGGTTTGTCCTTTAAAGTTTTAACCTTATGCATATGGAATTAGAAAGATTTAGGAGTTAGTAAATACAAAATTGGTAAAATGAGAATATTATTGTACACGACAAATGACAAAAGAATGTAAGGAAATAGAAGAGGAATAGTATAAAATTATAGCTAAATTAAAGTTACCTAACTTACAATATCACGATCACTACGGTGTACATTGGTTGCTATGCCGGTGTCGTGTTGCGATGACGTGCAGCGGAGTCGCGTTGCCGTGAGACCCAGGGAGTCGTTTGACGGCGGCGTCCACGTAGTTGTGCGATGGGAGTGCAGCAGCTCAGGGCAGGCTCACACGCTGGTGGTGTAGACTAACAGCCTTGATGAACTTCGGGTTGACGATGGTGTCCCAAGCTCGTGGGGCTGAGACCTCGTTGGTGCTTTGATGATGCAGGCTCACACTCGTGGGGTGGAGACTTATTGTCGATCTTTCAATTCAGAGTTTCCCAGGATTCGGATGCCACGCTACTGATGTACCGGTAGACCTTGCGACATCCCACTTCTGACACCAAATTTGTTAGGAGGGCCGCTCTGAAGGTGTTTTTAAAAAAAAAACTTTTACACCCAATCCCAGAAGTTCTTTTGGTTTATTTCCCCAATATTAAATTAATACAAATTAATACAAGAAATGTACAAAAGCCGCGAACGGCGTGTGCGATATGCACTTAATATGGGTTGGAACTGCACTGCCTCGATTACCTCAAACTCTAGGCTTTTATAATAAATATAATAATCGAGTCAGCGCTTTTATCTAACTAGCGTTGGACATAACAGTACGGTCATTACATATATGTACATTAGGAAAATATATTTTAACTTAATATTTTTTTTATTTATTTTATGACGACCGCATTTTGTATTTACTTAAATAAAAAAGATATCTTAAAATGGATGCAATGTCATTAAAATTGACATTAAAAGAGTTAAGTTGCGCAATCCTGGTCTCATTACACAAAATAATTATTATTTAAGTGGCAAGAACTATAGTCTTTGCCAAATCGATTGAGAAAAACGGACAATGACCTCAGATATGAGCCGTGTGTCAAAAGGCGTAACTTACAAAATGTTAATTTAGAAATATCACACTTCTAGGTCAGCACATATGTTTTGTTTTTTTGTTTCTTAAATAATATTGTCTGTGGTTTCTATAAACATTGTAATATCTTACGGTACATCGCGAAAAATGTGTTATATTTTATATTTCAATTTATGGTAAGTAACGCAGCAATTCCTTTCATAAAAGTTTTATATCATAAAAAAATATTTGAAGCAATATAATCACCATATTGAGCTTATGCAAATACATCCCTTTAAAATAAATAAAAGCGCGTTACGTCAGTTCGTTCTAAAAGCAACGTGACAATGGTAGCCAGAGATGCATCACCTTTTTTTTGGGTCGGTTCGCATGCAGCTAAAAAAATAAAGTTCTTATATAATATTGACAATAAAGTTTTATTTTTGAATAAGTATGTACTTATTCGGTGTCGTTATCACTCGAATCTTTATATGTGTTATTATAAATTAATGGTTTTTGTTGTTAAATGAATAAAGTACTTTATAACAATAGATGAATTTTATTCTACAGCGATCTTTTACATAACTTTTTGATAATAGTTTATAAATATATATTATATCAATAATTATAAAAAAATAAAAAAAAATCATTATAAATAAAGAAAGTACTACATATAAAAAGTGCCTATATATTGAAGGTTTGTAGCCCCTGGTTAAACGACCGAAAGGTCATTGTCCGTTTTTCTCAATCGAGTTGGCACGTACTGTAAATGCACCCTTTTTATAAAAAAAATGTGCAGCGTTAATAGCAGAGGTATTGGTGAGAATTATCATATCACCAAGCTACTACTACCATGATGTATGCTATGCATAGCAAGCATGCATAGGTTCAAGGGCAAAAACTTTGAAATCTTTTGTATGTGAACACAACTGTAATGTAGGAAGGGTGTCAATGAAGGAGACGTGTTGTTGGTACTAAAACTAATTTTGTTCACTTATTCTACCTTAGAACTAATATATTTTCGTGGGGGCTACACGACGCTACAACCATTTTAGTGCTTTATACATACCATATTATATCATATACATATTTACATTCTTATAAATTTTTACAGAGATGAAAACGGCCAGGAACAAGACGACGACATAATTTTCGAAGATTTCGCTCGATTGCGACTAAAGGGAGCCGATGCAGAAGCATGAATTGTAGCCCATTTATGCGCTTAGGTCATCGCACACTGCCGTTTACCATGGGATGGGTTACGGGTTTATCATGTGGGAAGGGTTCCCAAATTCATTTTAAGCAGAGGTGTGCGACGCGTCAAGCAAGACGCGCAAAACTATTGCAAACAATGGTTCATGATCATTTTCAGTCCCTGTACAGTGTATTATGTGTTGAGGATTTGCCTATTACGCCTTTCGCTTAAAACCGATTTCTTGGTAAACGGGCCAATGATATAATAGATTTGAACTCTAATTATTTTATCGCACAGTTCAAAGTCATTAAAAGAACTATGGTTTATTGGAGATCGGAATTTTCGATAAGGCGAGGCAGTTGTATGTTACATGTACACATAAGGTTAAAATAGATTGTATTTTTATTTATAGCTGTAATTTTAAATGCTGTTATGACCGTAATGTGTGCATGTATCATGCGAGAATTATAGTAAAGAAGTTTTATATATTATTCAATGTATATTGTATGTGGAAGATTATTTTATAACTGTAAACTATCGATCAAATATGCAAGTACAATTTTGTTTCTCTAATCGTTATATTATAATTTAAGTTTTAAACATGTGACATAGCCATGAATTATTTTTTGGTAATATAAATAGTACAATGTAATTTGGTAATGTGCATTTAATAGCGTAAAATGTTTATATCACTTTAACGTGTTTTAATTTCAGAAATTATCGTTTATAATTATATAATAACTCCCTAATTAATAATAAGTTTAAAATTGTTGATATTAACAAGGTAACCAGAAAATAAAATGAATCAATGTAACTTCATTCAGTTCATTTTCCAAAAGGCTTTGGCAGAAAATTGGCGGAAAGTATAGAATTCATTTAACTTCCTTGAAAATATAAACAAATTTTTATTATTAACACGTATTTTATTCCATTTTACATCGAAATCAAAGTGAAAGTTGTATTTCCAGAATGCAATCTTATTTTGTGCTTTGTGAGCAAGTTGGTAGAGATTGAATCTGATAAATCGTAGCCTGTGGCCTTTAATACAGAATTTAATTGGTTCTTTAAAGGAGTCATATTTATCATGAATCATTAGAGGTTTAACGTTTGTTGACCATATTACATTATATATGTACCGCAGTTAATAAGATTTTTTTTCTCATCAGTCCATAATAGACTGGGCCCCACCTAATGTAAAGCCCGGTCGCGGAACACAAACAATTTCGTACATCCTTTGTGCTTCTTGCCAATGGTCAAAAACTATTTAAGATAAATTGCGTATCTCAATTCGAAATTTTCTTAAAACTAGTTTAAATGAACTAGTTAAAAATGAATAACAATGCCAAGACAAACGAAAGAACCATTGCACAAGAACAAACCTTATTGCTATGGTTAAAACGCTAACAATACCTAATGAAGGCGGTCGCAATACGTCGATGCATGAGCGACGAAAATTAGTAATGACGGGTCATTGTATGAAATACTTTGTGCTTGGCGACCGGGCGTCTGGAAATTACTTATATGATCGTCCTATGCCGTCTTGTACAAAACTATATGCTATAGCCGACAATTTTGTCGCTAAAGCTCGCAACACAAAGTCTTATGAGGTCACTTTTTTGACTAATGTACATTTATTTCGCTGTACAGGTAAAGATTTTGTAAATTTTGTGGCGTGATTACTTGTACATGTTAGCTTTATATTGCACAAAATTATTGCTCTAAAAACTCTACCGTTAGCGCAGCTATATCTATGCCACGTCCCGATTTTTCTCCGAATCTGGCAAAATAACGCGCAAACCACGGAATTAGCAAAAGCGGGGTCGTACGGTACAAATTTGCATTTTTAAGAAATCTTTCCTAGATTAACCCATACTTTTAGGTTTTAGAAAGGTATTTTAAAATGTATTTCGATGTTAATAATATATATTAACGTTTACTTTTAAGAGAAAAGAATATTTGTTGTAAAAATTTGCGTTGGCTTAAAGTTGAAACTGTCCTGAACGAAACATCATGACTTGCATGTTATTATTATACATATAGATTAAAATTTTAACATTTGCGCCTTCCACTCCGCTATGCATTACTTTTAGAATTAACATAAATATTTTGTTGCTATGTAATTGTATTATTATTTATATTTTTTAAATTTAAATAATGATAAGTGTTGAGTGGTGTAAGTAATTTGTATAATGAATTAATTGTATGTAGGAACAAAATAAAAGACGAAATAGAACATAATCGTTCAGTTTACTTGAAAGCCAAGTACAATTAGCCGAGTTTGTTTTTTGATATTTTAAATCGGAGGCTACTTTTTACACTGTTCACAAAGAATTAAAGTTTTGTTTACAAATGATACTACACGTCGTGAATGGACACAATGCAGCGTTTATTGATTCTTCCGTCTGATATAAAAATAATTATGTTACTAATGTATAAGCTGTGGTCACGCTATGAGTTTAAATCACACGGCTTATTACATTTTAATTTTCGTAAAAAATGTATTTTTCGTTGGGAAAATAGCCACGAAACTTGCAAAATAATAAACATAACTTGCGCAACAAATCTTTTTTAATTTTACATCGAAACTTTTTGATGTATACTTTTTCAATAAATATGTAATCAATAATAACTGGTTTTATTTGTGCTTCTGTTTAAATTGTGTATGCGCCCTTCATAATTTGAAAATATATAGCATTTGGAGAAGTTGGTACATCTAATATCTAAAAATAATACACCTTAATCTCTCTTCGTCGTGTAGGATTTGGTCCTTACCTTCATAATAGTAGCGCAATATAACTTTAGTAAAGTAACCACCTTCGCAATTTATTATTGGACTCGGGCCTTCAGCAGCAGTAGTTTATACCTCTTAAAGCAACGCTGAAAGCTGAAGCTTATTATTATGGCTGCAGCACGAGTGTTGTAACTAGACTACAATCATGTTGAATTTTGACGATCTGGAATTAGCAGCTATTGCGATCGCTCTGGACGATGAAGAATCTGACAAATCTTCAACTACAAGGAAATTGATACTTTCTCACAGCCTCAATCAAATGGTCGTTTTTCTTCCGACGACGAACAAAACGTCAGTGCACTTGAAAAGCATCACTAGGACTGCTCGGGCGCAGCTCGGCGGCACTGTAAACATGCAACGGGCCGATGGACGAGCCGAGTCGGGACCGAGTTGTTGCCGAGCGTTGTCCGTTGCTCGGCCGTCACTCGGTTGCCGCTCGGTATAGCGTGAGTGTGTCCATACAAAATATATGTAATGTTAGTTGACGGTGCTACGGCAGACATCGGCTCGAAACCGTGGCTGTAATTACAAAGACAGGCCTCTACCGAGCACCGTGATGCAGTTTACTCGTCCGAGCAAAAATAGATTTGTAACTAGACTACAATTATGTTGAAGTTTGACGATTTGGAATTAGCGGCTATTGCGATCGCTTTGGACGATTAAGAATCTGATAAATCTTCAACTACAAGCCGGGATCGAGTTGTTGCCGAGCGTTGTCCATTGCTCGGCTGTCACTCGGTTGCCGCTCGGTATAGCGTGAGTGTCCATACATAATATATTATGTAATATTAGTTGACCGTGCCACGGCCGACACTCGGCTCGAACACGACACGGTCCAGCGTGAGTGTCACCCTTTATAGTGCTGTTTCGTATGGTGAGTGACAAGAATTAGAGACCTATTGCTGGTAATGAGGCATTAACTGTGACCAATTAATCAACACAATATCAAGCTTACTCGCAAGAATTGATCTATTTGTGATGATAGCCCGATCCCAGTAAAGCCTAATGGACTTTTGAGTACGGCTTCTGTCAAGTATTTATAATAAGGCAGATTCCTATCCACGAGACCATATATCATAGCGGTCATCTGATGTAAAATTCTAGCTACTAGGTTGTGTACGTGCTGGTCAAGCCTAAGACGCCCCCCACCGCTTCAGTTTCCTACCGAGTCTTGAACGCGCATTACGTGTCCACAATTTCTGCTATTAGTCAGTGTCAATTCTATAGTTAGTTATTGTGGAATCGATATTATATATATTTTCAACACAACAGCAAGTATTTATTTTTATTGTCCGAAGAAGCCTCCCCATTGCTGGTCCAATCGAGACGGATTACATTATCATCGGCGCAAGAATCGACCCGCGGCGATATCGGCCATTTTGTGGAAACGTCGTGCAAATGTCGTGCCAACGTGTCTTATAACTGGGGCTAAACTTGACGGACAATTCACTCACTTCATCAACAATAGCCAACTCATCACACACTCAAGAAGCTTTCACCCATCATCAAGCTTTAAAGAAATCCCCCGTAGGCATAAGCGGCGCGGCCCATCTACGAGGTGGAACTCATCATCCAATTTTCATCATTCAAACTATCCTGTGTAGGCAAAAGCGGCAAGGCCCATCTACGCAGCATAAATCATCAAAATCATTGATTCATCACGCCAAAGAAGGCACCTACAAATTCATATTCTTCACCTACAGAAGATAAAGACAGCAATCATCGCACTCATTCATAGCTTTTCACATCGTCCATCCAGATTTACAGAAACAAAGAAACTGTGAGGAGCAACGCGAAGTGGTATAACAGTGAGTCCGTTCCAATAAAGCCCACAACCTACCTACCAACCCCCTTACTTAACTATACCAATTTACCTGTTTTTATTTTTATGCACAAATCTATCCAGAAAATCCATTAAGGTAAGGTCACAATCTAGTACCTACCTGCCTACTTTTCTAACATAACTTCATTGCAATCATTATTAATCACAACTTGTTCTCAAAAACAAGTAGGCATTTATCAACTTCTCACTTATTTCCATACTTTGTCAACTTTTACGTCGGTACTTAATTACCTACCTTCTGTTTAAAAACATTACAGCAGGCATTACTTAAAATTAATCTCATTTAGACATACCCACCCAATTTTCAATCATTACGCAAAACAGTTTTTTATTTGATTCAAATTTCAAATCAAATTTTATTTGCAACAGTGCAACCAAACGTTGGCCAGGGCGCATCTCCGCTCGCTCGCAGCGCTAGATTCAAGGTCAACGACGGCCGGCCGGCCGATCCACGCCGAGCTCGCTCGCTTGGACACGTCGCGTCGTAACATCGTGATAAATAAAAAACGTAAACATTTTATTAAAGTTACATAAAATCAATTTTCA